GGCACAGAGCAGGCAGTGGGGCCACTACAGCCCGTCCACAGCCTCCTCCTGCAGGTACGGCCGCCCTCCGCGTGCCAGGCTGGGGCACCGCGGTGCGTCCCAGCTGCAGAGCAAAGACCCTTGTCCTTCCGCAGGAGGAGAGCGCCAAGGGCGCCACAAGGAGGAAGAGGAAGGCGAAGGCGAGGAAGAAGGGCTTGGGGCCAGCCAGGGGCTCAGTTGAGGAACCAGAGGGCCCCGGAGGAGGGGGGACAGAGCAGGGCTGCTGCCCACCAGCAGAGTTGGGCAGGAGGACCCTGCGCCCATGGGCACGGCCACCCCCCAGGCAGGTACGAGCTCCAGAGCTGCCCACAGCCCCCGTGAAGCTGCAGCCCCCGCGCTTGCCCTCCCCTCAGCTTTGCTCCAGGAGCGGCTGTAGCCCGGAGCAGGGACGTGTGGAGCCCAGTGAGGGCGAGGGGATGGGGGCCCTCCAGGGTCGCAGCAGGTGACGAAGGACTGCGCTCCCACGAGCATCTGTCCTCCCCGCTGGGTCAGTGACAAATGTGTCCTTGCCAAATGCAATGCCTGACCTTTGCTTCTCCTCCTCCAGGGCAGGGCATGAGAAAGAAAAAGAAGAAGAAAATCAAGAAGAAAATCAAGTCACAGGAGTCTGCGCTGGAGCAGCAGCACGAGGGCGTCTCGAGCACCTTTGGTATTTCCCAGGATGGGTTTTGCTGAAAAGTGTGTCTGAGGGTTCTGGTCACTTGCAGTGGGACATGAGCCACTCGGGAGCCTGTGGCTGCACGGGCAATAGCACCTGGGGCAGGTGCCCCTTGACGTGGGCTCCAAGGGTGCTCAGGGCAGGGTGCTGGGGTGCCGGCGCAGTTGGGTGGTTTGGGAGGTCAGATGCATCCCAGTGCCCCCCGCAGGGCTGCAGGGGTAGGAGCTTGACCACAATGCTGGAGCCTCTGTCCTCTCCCTTCCTCCCTGCAGACCTGTACCGCCGGGCGATGCTGGCTCTGAAGATGAGGCAGGAGCAGAGGAAGCAGCCAGCTGCCATCGCCCCCTGAGCAGGGCCCTGGGCACGGTGCTGCCCACGCTGGGGAGCACCACGGGCTCTCTGCAGCCAAAGCTGCTGGTCCTTGAGGACAGGTGGTCCCAGAGCAGGCAGGTCCTGGGGAGACTCCGGTCTGTGTCACAGCGGTGGGGGGCCCCACTGCTGCTGCAGAGCTTGGGAGGACTCGCCCAGGGCTGGCTACGCTGGAAGATGGAGTGTGAATGACAGCAGTGTCCCCTACATGACATCAAAACTGGGGATTTGAAGGAATGAGCCAAAGAAAGCTTCTATAAAAAGCTCCTCCAACAGCTTGGCTGCAAAATCTTCTGGAAAAGAAACAACAGCCACTTCTCCCACCCTGTGTTCTCCATAAGCCTCGGTCTGAACCCAACTGAGGCTTCAGGAGAGAGCAAGATCAGAACGTTATTCCCGTTAGCCACCAGCGGGGCTCGTCCCACCCTGTGTTCTCCATAAGCCTCGATCTGAACCCAACTGAGGCTGCAGGAGAGAGCAAGATCAGAGCAAACGTGCCAGGGCAAAAGCCCATGCTTGGTACAGCTGGCTCAAATCAATGTACGGCCAAGCAAGGCTGGGGCCGGGGCTTCCCTGGCTGCTGGCTCATCCCCATCTGCTCCAAGGTGACTCGTTATTCCCACTAGCCACCAGTGGCGGCTGAGAGCTGCTGATGGTGCCTGAAGAGCTTTGCTCAGCCCTTGACTACATCAGATGAGGCCATACCCAGAGTGTTCTTGCATGGCGCAGGGTGGCAGCGTCTCCGTGTCCTGGTGCAGACGGAGACTGGCCGGGCAGACTTCCTTTTCTTTCCCCTCGGGTGAATCGGGGGGGACTGGGCC